AGCATTGCCTAATCGCTTTCACCCAGTTTTTTTTTTTGGACATTATCAATTCAAAAGCAGTGAGATTTTACAGCTCTCTACTTTGGAATAATCCAATCACCGTAATGGCTTGCTTTACAACACTTTTATCTAATAACGGGTGTCAAGTTCAAAATGGGACAAACGCAAAATTAAGGTAGACACTGTGTATTATTAGATATTTTAACGAAACCTTCACCACATATACCTTGTTTTGTCGCCAGTCCACTGGTACTAATGAATTTGAACCAGGGGTCCATGCCTGTCTGCCAGACGCACGTGCTCTCCCGCTATCTTCATTATCGATCGCGGCACCTCCGGGACAATTTTATTGATGCTGCTCAGGATTCTGGCACGCAGCTGCTGATCGGATGACGCTGTCCAGCCACCACGGTAGACTTCTTGTTTAAGTATGCCCAAGAAGTCCTCAATTGGTCCCAGCTGCGGGACATTCGGCGGGTTTTTCTAGCGGATTAAATATCAGGTATGCCAGCCTCCTCCAGAAACTGGCACGTGGCACGTGCATAATGAGCTGAAGCCAAGTCTGGCCAAAATGCATATCCACCCCTTCGGTTGCTGGCCTCGATGAACAGTTTGAGTTTGCTGTTCAGGCACTTTGTGATGTAGACATGGGCGCTAACATTTGTTGAACTGGGGCAAATTGTTGGTTTTGCTACTCCCTTGGGTGATATGGCTATCCACACAAGAAGCTTACGTGGGAACTTTCCAATCGGACGGTACGTCACATTCGAAGGTATGTCTCCACCAGGCCCAGCGTAAAAACCACGGTTTTGTGGCATTTCTGAGCCAGTGTAGGTTAAGTAGCTTTCATCGTCCATGATGGCATCTTGCTCTCGAGTGGCACTCAGTTTTCCCCGGCTAAGGGGTCGCAGGCGGCCCTTTTGAGATTGTTCTCGCTGAGCAGATACCGGAGGAGCTTTCTGGCGCATCCTATATCTTACCCCTTCCTCTCTGAGAATGTGTCTCACTCTGTCATGCGTTATGCCAAAGCTGCGGCCTAAGAGACGAAGTGAGACGCCGACTTTGCCGTCTGCCATGTGAACAAGGCCTTGGCGCCTCTTTGCTGACATTTTGGGAGCAGGCCTGCCATTCAGAGCTCGTCGTATGTGTCCTTTGTCTAGGAATGTATTGATAACGCGATATATCAGTCGGTCGTGGAATACCAAGCGATTTAACATGGCGGAAAACCTGAGCCTTAGTCAAGTTCGGGTTTTGTCAACTACTCTCGCGACAATGTCTCTTGCGGCTTGCTTGCTCAAAGGCTTCATGACGACTGACCTATATACATAGCCACAATACTTTAACATCATGCTCGTGCAATTCACGCATGGACATTCTGTCCAAATTTCAGGTGAATATCTAAAGGGAGGTTGAAAATAGAGCGATTTCAATTTTGTCTCATTTTGGACTTGACACCCGTTACAAGTACCATGAGCACCATCATTTCGCTTATTTGACAATAAAAGGCACTGGTAGCCGCATGGTGTTTTGATAGGCAAACCGAGCACTGTTTCACAAGAGAGTCGCCAGTTTACAGAAGCTCGTAGAAACGAGGTTCTAGCAAGGATCCAAATAGTTTACCCGAAGCATGGATGAGATAACACTCATCCATGATATTATTATCTGAGATTGTTAGGGATGAGATTATTGTGTCATCCATGCTCGAAGTATGTTTACTTGTAAGAGTTGACAGTGTTTTTGTTTTTGTTTTTATTTATTTAGTAGTACCGTGTCCAGCTTCCCTCGGCGTCCATCACCTCCCGGACTCGGCGTCCATCACCTCCCGCAGCCGTGACGTCATCGAATCCGCCAGCCGCGCGTCAAGGAAGCCGGCCACGACGGCGAACGGCTTCAAACTTCCTCTGGATGCAGTGCCAGAGCTCCCCGCACGACGGCGAACGGCTTCAAACTTCCTCTGGATGCAGTGCCAGATCTCATGTGCGTTCCAGCGCCGCGCGGAGTGCCGGAGGTCTTCTGCCATCTCCTCCACCGTAAGGCCCCACACACTCTATTGGATTTAGATCGGGGCTTTTTGGTGGATGCGGCAGGGTCTCGATCTGAAAATGCAAACAATGTGGCATCCTCCTCGGTCAGTCCCAGTTCTGTGGGGAACGCTCTCTTGAACGCCTTCAGCATGTTGCTGGCACTGTCAGTGACGATTATCAGGATCTTGCCTTCCAGGCCGAACCCGGCCACAGCACTTGCGCCCCTTCGCCCTACAGGAGCGTCTTACTTACTGGGCCCACTTTTTTCGGGCTTGGATCCGGTTGTATACACAGTTTTTCACATCCGTCCACGATCTCTCCGAGAGTGCGCTCTCACATTCGATGGCGTTGACGCCTTTCCTGGTACTTGATGCCTTTCTATAAAGGACTTGAATCTCGAGTTTATAGCCCTGTTTTGGTCTGCCGTCCATGTCTTCCTCTTCACAGGTGTCCGTAGCTGCTTGGATATCTGTGCTCGAGTCGTGACTGGCGGTTCTGAATCACGAGACTGTGTCGGACTCCAGACTGCGGACTGCGGACTGGACTCTACTGCGGACTGTGAACTCTCTGGCCCTGGCCGACTCTTGATATCGTCGTCCACCTCAATCGTCAGTTTTGTCCTGATTATCGTCTGCAAGGTCACCGGGCTCGTTCGGTATGTCCTCCAGTCGAATCTCCGCCAGGCTTTTCCCTCTCCATGCTACTAGCCCCCACTCAGACGCCATCAGCAGCTTGCTCACTAGAGCCAACTGAGTAGTAGCTTCCGGCATTCTGTAGACCTCGCGGTGGACACGAATGTCATGGCCAAGAAACGTGGCCAGGAGGTCCAGTTCATTGTTCTTCAGGTTTAGGACCTGCGAGAGGGTGGCGATATGTTTGCGGAGTTTGGTGGATGTCAGAAGTGACGGTTTATCATTTCCGCTACTAACTGCGACTTTGCGGAGGCAGTCAGATCCACGCAGCGGCCTGTCATCCGTCGACGACATGCATACTGTTAGCGAAGACATACCGCGACGCGCCGACCTCGGCCGCACCTCGACATTTCAGCAGCAAATCTATGCTGGCACGCATATCGTGAGCAGTATAGGCACACCCCTCCTCTTCTTCCCTGCACCACGACTCTCGTCAGATTGCCGGCCAGATGCTTCTCGAATTCGGGTCAGGGCGCTAGTCACTTCAGGGTTGCCGTAGGTGTTTGAGGTGACCTTCTGGTAGGCGTCCGCCGTCATGGATGACGCCTCCCCTGTCTCCTCCGAGTAAACATGATGAGCCTCGCCAGCACCAGCTCGGCCAGATTCTTAAACGCCTGGGCAGTGGCGACCTCTCTGATTTCTTCCGTCCTCTTGGCCGTTTCTACCTGTTTTTCCGCGGCGCCTTAGCTCATGTTTCAGAACACCGTTTCCCAACTCTGAGACGAGACTTCTCAGCTTGATTTCAACGCTTTTTGGCGATCGGCAGTCAAAGACAGGCCAAAGACTGGTCAAAGACTGCATATGTACCATATGCAGATATGGCGCGCCATTATCTGCATGACCTTTGACATCGATATTGCGGCGCCACTCTCGCTCAAACGTCGAGCCTCTTTTTAGAGCACGGACAACTGCGCCTCCGAGAAGGCTAGTTCTCACGTCAAAGCGCCTGCAGAGCTGGGAACAATGCTCCCATCGCACTCCTGGTTGTTGCCATCTTGAACATGCATACACATCGCTACACATGAGATCACTTATTCAGCTGACACTTTCAACCGCATCCCTTTTCCCGTTATTGGCAAAGTACGACTTGTGGACAGTTTCGAGCGGTGGGTCATACGGTTCGCAGCGCCGTTCTGCCTCAGTTACGTTGGTGTAAGCAGCTGAGCGAGCCCATGGCTTTTCTCATTATAGTCTTGATACCGAACGTAGTGCATATGTAAGCGTCTAACCCCGGCCGCTGGCGTCAGAGGCAAACGCCGAACTCGGAGCCAACCAAGCGTGTATCCAGCAGACAAACAAACAAACTGAAACGCCCTAGAAAGAAAAGACAAACAACTGTCACAATCCCGACACATACAAAGCCGGCACGAAATATCAAAACCCGTTATTAGAGAATGTGAAATAAAATAAACAGTAGTTATCACGAAAGTTGAAACCCACCGTTCAAGCAGGCGCAATCCAATCACATCTCGATCCTCGCCATGTCGCGGCGCACCGAATTCCCGCGCTGGACGCGGCGGGGGCTCAACGGAAATTCGGCTGCTCTCTCATTGGTCAGAATAAACGATTACCTGATTGGCTCTCGCGTGGCGCGCAACTACATCATTGGACAAAATCATTACGGGAAGTCTAAAACTCTTCGGATAAGAAATATGACACATAACTAAAGAAACATTGGTACCGAACAATATTAAATAATAAAATAGTCATTACAAATCAGTATCATAACTAAATAGAACTAAACACGCGACAACAAACCAAGGACATTATTGCAGCGCCGGACGAATTTAGAGTTGCGACTTTCACTTCTGGTAGGCCCAGTATCCGCTCGCATAACATGTAAGCGGAAATCCGCTTACACCCTTCCTCCCTAACGCGAAGAAACTTCTCGATTATTTACACATACAATACAACGCATCGACCTACGAAAAAGGAACTTTTTTTTTAACTGGACGGCTAAACATGTTCGGTCTCAACTGAATAACTCCGTATTGCAGCTCAGCTCGTGCGCTTCTCCATTCGCTAGAGAACTACCTAGGTGCCCATTGTACAGAGGTAACACTAAGGCTCGCTTGCAGCTGTTCTTACTACGATAGGAATCTCAAGTCAAGTTATCGCCCAATGTCATTGCCTTTCACCCAGTATTAAACATTAAAACGACAGCAGCACACAGCAGCTCTGTGTGATAGGTACCCACAACGGAAAATCACGGCGAATACCTGTCGGGAGGAATGACTACTCGTGTTGACCTACGCAATTCGGGACTGCGCATATCTGCGGTAACCTAAGTGTTCGCCACGTCGGGCGGCACCTCTGCTGTTCCAGTCGGAGCTGAACCTGCTATCGGTTCTGCGACCTCCTCTGGCGTCTCACGTGTCTCACGCGCTGTCTCTGTCTGAACTGGGGGTGTCTGCGGGGCGAAAGATATGGCGAACGGATTCAGCAGGGACAGGGCCGGCGGTCCTGAGTCGTCAAGACTAGCGGCGTCAGCTGGTTGGCAACTAGGCCTACCTTCACACTGCGCACCACTTACCCTCTGATTGTCACTGACACCATCCATCCTCCTTCGGCCTGTCGGAAAGGTCACGCCTGCTGCTGTCCCGACAGCCGGCTGTGGTCTCGCGGCGGGGTCCGCCCGTGAGACGGACGCTGTCGGTGCGGTCACCGGTGACTCACCTTCTCCGGTATCCACTCGAGGCTTCAACCTGTTGTGGTGTACGATGAGCGTAGACCTAGCTCCTTCTAGTCTGATCCTATAGTTCAGAAGACCGACCTGATCTACTACTACTGCTCTCTTCCAAGGACGCAAAAACTTATAATACTGACCGCGCGGAACGATTCCCTTATGCAGATACACTTTGTCTCCAGGTAGGTAACTATTCTCATTTAGCTTTCTATCATAAATCTCCTTGTTCTTCTGATGACTTCTGTTCGAGTTCTCTAGTGCTACTTTGTGCAGAGCACGCAGATTGGTCTGCAGCCTCTCTAGATACTCCGTGATTGGTCGGGTCCTGCACCGAGTAGGACCGGCGTACTCGGCATCGGCGGGCAGCCTTGGCTCCCTGCCAAAAAGTACGCAGTACGGTGACACGCCGAGGGAGCGGTGCACCTGACTGCGGAGCCCGAGCATCAAAAGGGGCAGGTGGATGTCCCAGTCTGAGTGCTCGTGATCCTCAAGGAATTTAGACAGCATACCAAGCACAGTACGATTGATTCTTTCACAGATTGAATTACCCATCGGATGGAATGCCGTGGTATGTGACTGCTCTATCCCCAGTAACTGGCACGTGAGCTTCATAACTTCCCCGGTGAAGCAGCCACCCAAATCCGAATGGATCGTCTTTGGCACCCCATATCGAGACACAAACTCTCTGACAAACGCCTGAGCTACCTCAGTCGCCTCTTGTGTCTTCAACGGAATACACTCTACAAATCGCGAAAAATGATCGATAACTACGAGCAAGTGTCTGTGCCCCTGCGACGTCACTGGCAGGCCAGACAAAATGTCGAGCGCTACTACCTCCATGGGCGATGAGGCTGGCAGCTGGCCCAGGGACGCTCGCGGGGCGGGAACCGGCTTGTTCCGCTCGCCGCAGCGGTGACACGACTTACAGAACTTTTCTATATCTACAGCCATGCCGGGCCACCAGAACCTTAACCTAGCTTGAGCTAACAACTTATCACTAGCGAAATGACCTCCCGTGGGTCCGGCGTGCAGAGAAGTCAGCGCCCCTGAGATCAGACTCTTGGGCAGCACTACCTGTAGCTGATCAGAATCGCCAGGCCTTCTTCTGTACACGCGGAACAGAACTCCGCCCACCAGTCGCAATCTGGACCACTGCGACAAGTATTTGCGACACGACTGGGGTAGATCCTTAGCTTTAGGCTTGGTTCCCGCGGAGACGCACTTCGATATTTCCGCGATATCCTCATCCTTGTCTTGCTCCGAGCGAATGTAGCTGGTCGACCAATCGTCTGACCTTACCTGAAAGCAGTATTCAGTCTCTGGGTCCGTCTGACATGACTGATCAGTCTGCTCGTCTGGTCTGCGGGAGAGAGCGTCTGGCACTGTGTGGAGGGCGCCTGGGCGATACTCGATGGTGAAGCGGAACTGAGACAAGATCTGGAACCAGCGGGCAAGCATGCCAGTCGGGTTGCGGAAATTGAGCAGCCATCGGAGACTCGCGTGATCACTCCGTACTTTAACCCTATTAGTGGCAGGCTCCTGGCTACCCCCTATTAGTGGCAGGGGGGGGGGGGCTGTTTACGACCCCCCCTTGATATCTCGAGATCTAACGGGCCGATTTTCAAAATTCAAACGGCATTCGATTTCGCTCAACGTGATCTACATTTCTAAAAAATAAAAATTAAGAAATGTCAATAGGGGGGGTAGAGGGGGGTAAAAACGGGCAAATTGCAGATACATTTTAGACTGTTTATCACGGCCAGGTTTCTGAACCAATCTTAACGCAACTTTTGCCGATCGATAGAGAATGAACCAGGAATTCACATGGATCCTAAAAATATGCATTTTCAAAAATCATAGGCGGATACAGATCATTGAGATTGGGGGTACACAAAAAGTATAGTAAATAAGGTTTTTGTTGGTACTGTTTCTAAAAAGGGTGGTAATGGTCTTGTTATGTTATAATTTTCTCATGAGAGAACGACTAAAATTGTATTGGTAATGCATAGGCGGTGTCAGGGAACCTATGTTGGGAGGTAAAACATAACCCCCCTTTTTGGACGCCTGGATCCGCCTATTATAGCAAAAACGTGTCAAAAGAGGATGCACAATAACTGTATATGTTATCACATGATACCTTTTATTCACTGTTCGTAAAACTGGTGCAGCATCGTGATCTTCGCCCAAATGACTCGCTTCACGAATAGGACCCCCCAATTCCCAGTGCTCTGGAGCCGCCCCTGGTAAAGTTATGAACTTGAAATTTTCAGGGAATGTGCCCAATTTAGTTTTAGAAAAAGTCAGAAAATTTCAGCATCGTAGCTTCAGCGGTTTCGGAGATATTTCCGAAAAACCTGAGGGGTGGATAAAAACAACCCCCCCCCCCCTGCCACTAATAGGGTTAAATTCCTTACCTTCCAGGTACGCAGAAAACTTTTGCACGAAGATCACTACCGCTAGCAGTTCTTTCTGAGTGGTACCGTAATTCATCTGCGATTTTGACAGCTTCTGACTCCCATACGCGATCACTTTCTCCACGCCACCCTGAACCTGTAGCAGCACGGCGCCCGCCTGGGTGTCAGAACTATCACAATCAAGAATAAAAGGACCTGCGTCTCGGCTGAAATCGGGCAGCGTCAGCACTGGGGCTTCACTGAGGGCTTTGCGAAGCCGGTCGAACGAGAACTGCGCCTCCTCTGACCACTGGAACTTCACGTCTTTCTGCAACAGCTTGAAGAGCGGTGCAGAGATGCTCGCAAAATTTTTGACAAATTTGCGCATGTAACCAGCCAGCCCTAGGAATGAGGAGAGCTGCTTGGCTGTCCGCGGAATCGGCCAGTCGCGCACTTTGCTCACACGGTCGGGGTCGAGAGACAAGCCACTCTCATCCACCACATGTCCCAAGAATTTGACACTCGAACGGAACAGGGAGCACTTTTCCAGATTGATCGTGAGACCGGCTCGGTGGAGCCTGTCTAGAACTAGCTCGAGCTTCTCAAGTGTCTCCTCGAACGTCTTACCACCCAAACAAACATCATCAAAGTAGGAATGACACGTGCCCTTGGGAAGATCGCGCAAAACAATATCGAGCATGCGGGCGCAGCTAGCCGCGGCACCATTGAGTCCCATCGGGAGCCGAAGGTGCTGCCAAGCGCCGAACGGGGTGACGATAGTCGTTTTAGGACGATCCTCTTCTCTTACACCGATTTGAAAGTAACACATGCGAAGATCAAGCACACAGAACATTGAATTTCCACCCAGGGAATCTAGAATCGTGTCTATTCTGGGGACAAGATAAGCAGGCATCTTAGTCACAGCGTTAACCTTTCGGAGGTCAGCACAGATCCGGACTCGTCCATCTTTCTTTGCGACAAAGCATGCCGGACTACTCCAATATCCATTCGACTCTTCCAGAACCCCTAGATCCACCAAGCGTTGTATCTCGGCCCTTACCTTATCCTCCAGGAATGGTGGGACGCGATGGGGTGCTGAACGTATCGGCGGACTGTCACCTGTGTCGATGTGATGCTCCACCGCGGATGTGAAGCCCAACCGACCATCAAACATGTCACTATATTTGGTCAGCAGCTCGGTCACCTTCTTCTTCTGCTCCTTACTGAGGTCTGTGTCTGACAGGTCTATCTTTTCACGCCAATTGGGATATGCGTCACCTGAAGGGACTGGAAACTCAGCCACGCCCACTTCCAGTCTACCGATCTCCGCACGCTTGGGGATCGTGACCGGCTCAGTTGTAATGTTTCTCACAAGGCACGGAACACTCTGACCGTTTACCTGCACCATGGAAGGAACCAACTCGAGTCCCGGGACTTCAAGCAATGGCTCGCACAGTGCTGGCCCTCTGAAGTCGACGTTTGGAACAAAACCTGGAAAGAAAACCTCGTGTCCGGCCGGAACCGCGATGTCTCTCTGACAAATCACCTTACCCACCGAGAAGACTGAAGCGGAGATGGTTCTGACCATTTTCGCAGAGCTGAGGATCAGCTGACTCTTGGTGAGATCCAGAACACACGGGCACACGCCAAAGAACTCCAATCCCAACAAAACAGTGCAGTCAATCTGATCCGAAACATAGAATGGAACCACCACTACTTCTCCAGCAACTTTAACGGCAATCTGTGTACGACCGACCAGTGGTAGGGGGTCCCTGCTAACCGTGTGTGCCACTGTGGCCGTAGTGAAAAGGGGAGGGGCCTTGGGGAGCACATCAAAAACGGATTTGTGAATGATATTAATGCTGCTGCCGGTGTCCAACGTCACTGAACACGTCACACCTCCCACATCAGCGTCAAATGTCATGTCAGCATTCAAGTGGACTGTCCTCTCACCTGCTCGGGCTGCAACGACTGGGCCATCCGGGGCGGCTGCAACGGCTGCGGCCGCTGGTCCTGTGGTCTGGCATCCCACTGATGTGGACCTGGTCCCCGCTGGAACCCTGAGACTGGGGTCCGCTGCTGCTCGGGTCTGGGGTCGGGGCCGGGCCCAGCCCGCTGGGGGTTTACCTGCTGCGTGCACATCCGGGCCAAGTGTCCTTTGGTCCCACACACATGACACGGCAGGTGCCTTTGCCGACACCGCGCCTGGTTGTGACCGGGCCTCCCACAACAGAAGCAAGTACGGCCGCTGCTGGACACTGGGGGAGAACGAGCGCTTACCTGCGGACGCTCCAGTCGCGAGAGTTTCAACTCCAGCTCCTGAACTTTCCGACGAAGTAGGTCTGTCTCGTCTGTGGCCGCTACCTGCCGAACCGTCTGGCTCGCTGCCACCTTCGCGGCGCATGAGAGGTTTCTCACCTTTGCCACCGCACTGTCGAACGTCTGGATGCCCTCGCCTATTAGCGCTTGTTGATATGTCGGTGGCAGTGATTGGAGGAAGTAATTGTACAGCAAGGGGTCATGATCGGTATGTCGGGTGTCGGGAAATGCGCGACTGACTAGCCCTCGAAGCTTCACCACAAAAGCATCAAGGCTGTCATCTGTTGTGAGTCTCAAAGACCGGAGCTGGACCTGTGCCTCGACTTTGTCGCCGGAGGGGAAAGCCAGTTCCAATCTCTTGCACGCGTCGCCTACCTTCTTCTTGCACTCGGTCGGGAAGGCATCGTAGGCGTCCCTCGCAATTCCGGACAAGCACAGAGGCAGCAGAGCTACTTTTTTATCGTCATCCCATCCTTGTAGGACTGCAAACGTGTCAAAGTCCGCGATGAAACGAGAGACACTGCCCTTGCCGGCGAAAGACGGCAGACCGACCGATAGTGACTGCGTCGCCATGCTGAATGTCAAATTTGGCACACTTCCAACGGAAAAAAAAATCGGTGATATAAGGGGAACCGCAGAGTCGTTAATACGGAAAGTAATTCAACAAGTTACGCTAAAATTAAATGCTCAAATTACTGCGAGAAAGGCGATGGAAAGGACGCTTTACAATGGAAAAAGAAATCGTAGAGCCAGTATTACCTCGTTACAGTGAGACCGCAACACTTTACCAGCAACCAACATCACACCTTCCCAAACCAAGCACAGACATGACACACAGTATCAATGAAACACCCTTGTCACCACTCATATCCCCAACCACCAGATGTTTATGTCCACGTCAGCCCAGTTTGGCACACCTCAGCTTCAAATGTCCACGTGCGTCTTCATAAGGGGGGGGGGTAGTGCGCGCATTGTCACCGGAGAATACCACGCACGGCGTCCTCGACAGGGGGGAGGAAGCGCCTGAGTCTCCGGGGGGTCAGAAGGTGCTCGTGTCCGCAACAGGGGGGAGTGCACTCGTCCCAGTCTCCATCGGGAGTGGCCGGTAGTCCTCGGACCGCGAGGCAGGATTACCCGCTCCAACAATTGTCAAAGGGCGATCGCTTAGATCGGGTGACACAAACGTTCAGGCACATCCCGCTATCGGATAAGTCCGAACTGGGTAGGTCTCACCGGCGTGTAGATGTTGAGCAGTCAGCTGTCGCGCTCGGAGAATCTTATACTGACGCCAGATGCAGGCCGTCAAGCTTAGGCCGTCGAGCTCAGAGCATCCCGCCGCTGCCACCAGATGTAAGCGTCTAACCCCGGCCGCTGGCGTCAGAGGCAAACGCCGAACTCGGAGCCAACCAAGCGTGTATCCAGCAGACAAACAAACAAACTGAAACGCCCTAGAAAGAAAAGACAAACAACTGTCACAATCCCGACACATACAAAGCCGGCACGAAATATCAAAACCCGTTATTAGAGAATGTGAAATAAAATAAACAGTAGTTATCACGAAAGTTGAAACCCACCGTTCAAGCAGGCGCAATTCAATTACATCTCGATCCTCGCCATGTCGCGGCGCACCGAATTCCCGCGCTGGACGCGACGGGGGCTCAACGGAAATTCGGCTGCTCTCTCATTGGTCAGAATAAACGATTACCTGATTGGCTCTCGCGTGGCGCGCAACTACATCATTGGACAAAATCATTACGGGAAGTCTAAAACTCTTCGGATAAGAAATATGACACATAACTAAAGAAACATTGGTACCGAACAATATTAAATAATAAAATAGTCATTACAAATCAGTATCATAACTAAATAGAACTAAACACGCGACAACAAACCAAGGACATTATTGCAGCGCCGGACGAATTTAGAGTTGCGACTTTCACTTCTGGTAGGCCCAGTATCCGCTCGCATAATATGTAAGCGGAAATCCGCTTACACATACATGTGCAACATCATCAGCAACCTTGGACGACAGAAACAGTCTGGTCTCTTCAGCACTTTGGACCAGGAGGATCGCTGGGGTATGTCATCTGATCCACAACCACCAGGTTAAGTTATCCATAAGACGACTTTGACTGATGTTCAGCGACCGAAAGGGTTCCTCCCGTCATTTTGCGGTACTCTGGCAGTGTTGCGTTAGAGGTAGCCCCAGATCGCTGGAAATTTTCACACAGCAGTGACACAGCAACCAGCAACCAGCAACCAGCAGTGACACAGCAACCAGCCTTCTCACGTTCACGGCTGCCGTGCGACTTTTTGGAGCTTGTTTTGTCATTGGGGCCAATTCTTCCAGAGTCTGCTTCCGCAGAGTGGTGAGCTCCTTTTTCGTCGGCAGGTAGCCGTCTTCCCCCATTTTGTCCTGAAGGTCTGCCGCGCGGTGCAGGTCGAGTGCAGACGCATATCGCTTCCATATTTCAAGCCTTCGGGCCGCGGCTGAGGAACGCGTGCTCACCTGCTCACTCCCGGGCCGGGCCTGCCCACCGCGGCCGACCCTGACCCCCGGTCACGCCACCAGCCGATCAGGGCGCAGTGTCTGATCACTAGCCCACATAGACTCGCAGATCATCAATCGCGTAGAGGTTCACCCGCCTGGTCTCGAACCCAGGGATTCAGGCGATGCATGCGCGTAAGCCACTAGGCCACCGGGACCACGGCGGCCGACATACCGCGCGTCACCTAACACTACCGGCTACAGACACAACTGCGCTACAGGCAGAGATAGAGCCATACATCGACATGCGTAACACTACCCCCTCTGAGATGCTATTTTCGTCCCGAAATTCGATAATAAAGATGACATAAATGAAAACAAATAAACTTCTCCGCGATATGACACCCTAACACAGGCACCCGTACAACACGTTGACAGGAACTTGTCTTTCACGCTGCCAGGGCCGCAGCTTATGCGTTCAGATGACAGGCAGGCGCTGCTTCAAGGATTGTCCGCTCCAGTCAAGGCCAGCCACGACCTCAGGAGTGGTGACTGGAGCCGAGACACTGCGTCATACGGCAGTCACTTTTGCTTTCCCAGTAGTCACGCTGACACTTTCTGGCTGACCTTATGGTAGCCCTACTCACTGAGATGCAGTCCGTCTCTGTTCAACTCTTTGTTATGTTGCCGCCGTCTCACTCACAAGCACTTCTTCATCAGACGGACTGTATTGGATCACGGCCGGTCAGAGAGTGACCATCAGTCGGTCAGCGGCGGTTCGTCTCGACCGCGCAGCTCCCCGACCTTCGACCCCGCCCCCAGGCAGTCGGTCGGTCAGCTGCGCCGAGCGGCGGCCCGGGCGGTCACACGAGCGGTCACACGAGCGGTCACACGACCAGCACATGCAGCAAATAGACGGCGCTCACAGCACTCCTCCCCCTTTAACAAGTTTTTTTAGCCAGCCGAGCAGAGCGCCGCAAGGCCGGCGCCGCTTCTACCGGCTCTGATGCACGCGCGCCACGATTGCCCTCGCATGTTGCTCGCTTATTATAATCACTGATATACGGAAAACGCCCCCTAGCGTCCATCAC